CTGTAGGTCAGTCAACAGTCTCTAGGTCAGCTGTGAACTTCCTTATTGAGGCCTCGTCATGGAGTCTAAATGAGACTTTGTTGTATTGAAGTGGTGGTTTACTAATGTTTGTCAGGAGGAAGGTAGGGTAGTGGTCTGTAGTGCTATCTGTGATTATCCGTGATTTAAGGGGGGCTAGTATATTGGTCCATATGTGGTCTATTATGGTTGCACTTGTCTCAGTGAGCCTGGTTGGTTTAGTTATTGTTGGTATGAGAAGTGTGTTGTTCATATTGTTGATGAAATCAGTTACAGGCTGATCATCTAGTAAGCCAAGGTTGATGTTGAAGTCTCCAGCTAAGAGAAGGTGGTGCTTATTCATTTGTCTGTTTGTCATTAGTGACTTTAATTTCTCACTGAAATTTGGGATGTTTGTGTGAGGTATCCGGTAAATGGCACCGATTGTTATAGGTGTCTTAAGGTTTTTTACAGTAAAATTAGCAAGTGGTGCCCACAGTATTCACTCTTCTGCACACACCTGGCGCCATGTTGTTGACTGAGTAGCTCGTCTGGGAAAACAGTAGAGGGGTGCAAAGCACGACCGCACTCTACCTCATCCAGGCAGCGAATGTCGCACAAATACCATAGATGAGATAAGGATAAATGAGAGATTAGTAAAGAGCAAGAAGAGCTGTTTGGGGTACATAGTATCGTATCCTTGCAAGGATGCTTACTGTTTTGGAGACTTTCTTGGATAATTGCTGTATATGGATCTGGAATTTGAGACTGCAGTCAAGATGGAGACCTAGAAATTTGCTGTGCGTGTCTTAAAATGGGTGAACCATTTATCAATATATTTAGCTGTACATTTGAAATAGCATGAAGTAGGTTTTATCCATATTGGGAGTAAGTTTGTTGGTAGTCATCCAAGTGGATAATTTTAGTAGTTCGCAATTTACAGCATCTGTTAGTATAAACTATGCCACTGGACCAGCTAGCCAGTGGCTAGCTGGTCCAGTGGCTAACGCAACGGTCTGGAGTTTTGAGACTCTCAGATCGCGGGTTCTATCCCCGCCCGTGGTATGGTTTGTTTGCAATCGTGTCATTACGATTTCGTGAGTCTGTTAGTATAGTTTGATTTGGGTGAGAGAAGACGTAAGTAGTGTCATCTGCAAATAAAATGGGTTTAAGGAGTTTAGATGCATTTGAGAGGTCATTGATGTAAAGGAGAAAGAGAAGTGAGTCAAGGACACTAACTTGTGGGACTCCAACAAGAACAGGTTGTGTAGTGGAGCTAACGCCATTTGAGTATACATACTGATGTCTTTTGTTAAGATAAGTGTGAGGGAAAAGTTCAACAGATAGGAGTAGCGAGCGAGTATATGGTAACGATAGTTTGATTGCCGGCTGCTTGTTAAGGTAGGATCAGTCTAGCTCTCACTCCCCGCTCCCCCTTTCTCCCCACCCCGAAAGGTGATGTGTGGGGCTCCGGCCAAACAGTAATCACTCGACTCACAGCTCCCAGCACAACTGTAAGTAAAAGCCTCTGCTCCTATTCTAGTGGATATTGGTTGAAAGCTTCACTTTTGACCAATAATAAACTTAGTTCTTTCAGTTTTAAGCTCCACATGAGACTTTTAGATAATCACCACCTTTTTTAAGTATCTTACACTTATCATGGAGAGTGATTTCTTAAGCAGTGGGTAACCTGTCTCTCTTTCCAGCTTGGAATGACAGCTCGGGTCACCTGCCAACCAACGAGAAGTGTTGAAGGAGACGGATTGAAACCGGTCTTGAGACGTCACTTTATGATCTACCTACCTGATTAATTGTACAGGACACTACCCCTCATCTTTGTAGTGGTAAAGAACCTGCGTTCCTGTCATCGGTACTGACTATTCAAGGCTATAGACTCTGTGAAGAACTAGTCGATGGGTTGTCACTAAACACCTGTGCCTCCCCCTACATCAGCAATGGCTACAATTTCTACAAGACGGTGTCAACCTCCACCAGACACGCCAGTATAACTGTATATATTAGCGTTGAATTCAAATGTCATTTTTCCATTTCATTTTTAATTTTTCTTTAAAGTAGGATACACCTTCATGTTTCAATGTTTTATCTTTGCATTACTAAATAATAAAGTGTTTATCTTTGTGAATTATTTCTTTTTCTATTCATTAATTTTCCTGAGGAGGAGCCAACCTTGGTAATACTGTCTGAAGTTGTTACAGGGCTGAGTAAGCCTTCACAATAAGATTTTAAGTAATCGAGAGTGTCCTCTGACCCTCGTAATGTTTTAGGTGCAGTAGGTCATGGTCAACTGTATCGAAAGCTTTTCGTAGGTCTATAAAGGTCCTAGGTGAATTTCATTTTTTATCGAGTGCAGAATATATTAGTTCAAGCACATGTATAATTGCATTGTTAGTGTTTTTTTCGGTCTAAATCCAAACTGACAGGTGTTAAGTAGGGGCAAGTCTGACATAGGTCTATAGTTGTTCAGTTCGGTTGGATCACCTCTTTTGAGGATCAGGGTGAGCCTTGCTGTCTGGAGTATGGATGAGGAGGAGGAAGATTCAATGGATATGTTAAAGAGAGTTGCAATATTTGGTGAAAACACATTAGAAGGTTTTTATACATGAGTGGTGGTATGTTATTTAGGTCTCCTCTTTTGTTCTTTAGTGTTTTGATGATGAACGAGATTTCAGTAGGGTTTATTGGGCTAGAAATAGAGTATTTAAGTAGTTACCAGTGAGGTAGTTTTTGGCTGGGTGAGTTTGGGATTTTGTTTGCTAGCTCTGTTCCTAAGGTCGAGAAAGAGATATTAAGTTTGTTGGCAGTATCTGTTGGCTGGAGGAGAGGTTCTCCTGATTTCGTTAAATTAATCACTCTTTTTCGAGACAGTGTTTTAGATCCTAGAATGCCAGATAGGGTTTTCCAGGTCTTATTCATATCACCTTTTATGTCGTGAAATCCGTTTTCGTAATACAGTTTTTTTGACCTCCTTGTTAGATTAATTAGTTTTGATGAGTAACGTTTTGTCAGATTCTTTATTATAGACCCATTCTGTACTGTTTTTCATATAGATGTTTTTTATCAATAGATTTGAGGATGCTGTTTGTAAGCCAGGGGCTGTTTAGTCTCTTTGCTGTGATCTGCTTTGTTTTTATTGAGCAATGCCTATTATAGAGGGTTTGAGTTTTTTGCAAAAAAAATATTAACACATTCATCAATATCGAGGTTGACTGCTAGCTCACTCTGCTAGTCGATTTTACTTAATGCTGAAATAAAGTTATTAACTGATGACACCTCATGTAGCCAGTATATGATCTTACTTGTGTCCTGCGGCAGTTTACATAAGTTGGTTATGAGAATGATGGGACAGTGGTCACTGATGTTATCTGTGATTATGCCTGCTTTTAATGGGGATATTGTGTTTGTCCAGATATGATCAAGAAATGAGGTATTTGTCTCGGAGATTCTTGGAAGTTTTGTTATAGTTGGCAGAAGTAAGCAGCTGCTTATAGTGTTTGTGAATTCAGTTACTTGCGGGTCATGGTCATGAATGAGGTTTATGATGAAGTCACCTGTAAGTATCGCCAGGTCAGCATCTGGAAAAGACCCGGGCTGGGACAAGACCGGTGAACCTACCACAGTACAGTACCTGTAAGTATCAGGTGGTGTTTATTCATATCTGTGTCAGTTATCATGTTTCTAAGGTTTTCACTAAATGAGTAAATATTGGAGTGAGGTGCTCTATAGATTGCTCCAACTGTTAAACTTTTTTGAGGTTTATGGATTTAAATTTAAATGTATATTCAGTATATTCATCCCTAGTGCAAGTAGATTTTATACATTCAAGTTCACCAGAGTGGTACATAGCTGTGCTACCTCCTAATTGTAGACTGTGTATGACCGTGTAGCCGGGTACGGCATACATGTTTATAACATGTTTTAGATATGTTTCAGCGAGAGTAATGATAGACATACTGACATGTAGAGAATTGAGTAGTGCTTGTAGTTCATCATAGTGTTTTGCTTAATGATCTGACATTATAATTGAGTACTGTTATGTTATTGTTGGCAGTGAGTAGTGTCTTTGCCTGACTGGCAGTGTAATAAAGGCACTCATTATTAGGTTCATATGTGTCATTTAATAAGAGGTTTATATCAGGATCGATGTTTGCAATCACATGGCTACTGCAGGATTAAGAGCGTATAACTTACAGTAAAGACACTATTAACTATTAAGAAGGATTGATATAATAACTATGACAAGTAGTAAATCAGTATTGCACAACTGTTAGATTATTATTATTATTATTAAAGATTCGCCGGTATTCTCCCGGCCCGGGCCTTTTCCAAGTGGTGGCCCGGCCTTGGCTCCCTCTTTAGGGAGTGTCTGAGACCTAAGTCTCCCATGGGAGGAGGCACAAGTACCTCCTCATCTTTGCGACTAACTGTCCCCAGGCCTAGCCACAAGCTAGGCCTCTCTGGTCTGCCATCCCCGCCCCAAGGGGGCAAATGGGAATGACAGTCTTATGAGCTAAAGGCTCGGGCTCGGGCACCTACCCTATCCTAGAAGGGTTAGGCATGGTGTCGATGTGTGTGCCTAATGAATGTAGAGACAGCTAGGGAGGAGAATGGTTTTTTATTTTTTTAGCTAACACTCATGTAAATGTAAACATTTAATTTTACCTTATTCCTAGTGTGCCTCCTTTGTAGTATAATAATAAGATATTATCTCCTTTATATTATAATAATAAAATATTGTCTCCTTCATAGTATGATAAGAAGATATTATTTCCTTTATAGCATAATAATAAGGTATTAAAAGGACCCCAGTGGAAATTAGTCACTGACTTTTTTGGGTTATCCCAGGTTCTCTACACATATGCTGCTATGTATGTTAATCTATGTAACTGTATTTGTGTATACCTGCATAAACTTACTTATTAAGTGTTGCATATGTGTCTTACTTATCAACATTAACAACAAAGCAAGTGAAGAGATATACACACCTTTCTTTCAATGTGTCCCACCACTCCATCGTAGGAACCATTGGGTGTCTGAGAGCCGAAGCTTGAGGCTTCCATAATGATGTAGTGGAAGTCCAGACTGGTGGCCAGGGCCGTGATCACCTCGCCCAGGTAACCCACTAACACGTCTCCATGGGCGCCCACACGTATTGCCTCGATGAAGTTCTGCGAGATTGCATAAGCACGAAACATTTAGAGTAGTCATCTTGGTCTTGGACTGGGAAAGCCCCCAGAGGATTGTTGTGAAAGTCCACAGCGGGTAACTTAGAGAGCCTCGTGTAGGCGTTGAGAATGCCCTCCAGTGGGCGTTGAAAAGAACCCACATTGGCTTTCTCAAAATTTAGGCCACCCCTCTTACTATGTCTCATATTCACACAGAACATCCAGCCTTCTCTACTCCTTGTGCTGAATAACCCACAAGGGCTTAACGATTCATGTAAACATTAACAATAACAATACTAACAGTTTTTATCTGACTCAGCAGTACACAGATATGTAGTTTTTAGGTGACGAATAAGAAGAAAAATGAATGTATTAAAAATCTAGAGCAATGCATAACTCCTGATGACGCACTGAGAAGTGTGAAAGTACTTGAGGCGAAGATTTCCGCCCCCCGTGGATTGTTTTGCATTGTTAAGATTGCCTGTCTATGAGATATATATATATATATATATATATATATATATATATATATATATATATATATATATATATATATATATATATATATATATATATATATGATGAAATTAAGACACGTGTGCAACATCTGGTTATCTTTATTATAGACGTTTTGCCATCCAGTGGCTTTATCAATACAAATTCCAGGACATAACTTGACAGTAGAAGTATGTACAGAAGATGAGGTAATCAGTCCCTCAACCTTGGAGTAGGTGCGAAAAGCACCGTAGTCGTGGAGATTCTAGCACATCTATATATACATATATATATATATATATATATATATATATATATATATATATATATATATACATATATATATATATATATATATATATATATATATTATATATATATATATATATATATATATATATATATATATAAATATATATATATATATATATATATATATATATATATATATATATATATATATATATATATATATATATATATATATATATATATATATATATATATGCACTTAACAATTCGCAAACAGGCAAAATTATTTACATACATTGTCTCTACGTCTGCAGCAGAACTCGAACCTGCTAACTTTGTATCAGAGTCTGATACAGAGTTAGCAGGTTTGAGTCCTGCTGTGGACGTAGAGACAATGTATCTACATATATATATATATATATATATATATATATATATATATATATATATATATATATATATATATATATATATATATATACATATATATAGATAGATAGATAGATATATTGGACAAATAATAAATTCTAATTCTTGGGTAGAATATTTTGTTAGTGGGATGTCGTGAAGGACCTGTCTAGTTGGGCCAGTGGGCCTGCTGCAGTGTTCCTCCTTTCTTATGAGTCGGGTGTCGTCGCACGTCAGGTGTTGCTTTGTTGCGGGATGTGATGGTGACATGTGGTCTAGACCCTTTATATGCCTTCCTTTGATGTATTACTTTCATAGTTCCTTGATAATGTGAGATGTCACGAAAGCGCTTGGAATTTCATTATTCTTTCACAGTGGTTGTTTTCCATATTCTGAAATCACCTGGTTACTGTGATCTTTTTGTATATATATATATATATATATATATATATATATATATATATATATATATATATATATATATATTATTGTAAACACAAACGAGCCAAGGATTCGAACCCATGTTGTACTGGCCTGCCTCATAGTGAGAACCACATGATGCTTTAAACCATAGGACCACCCAACCCTACAAGAATGGCACAGCCAGCAATGCTAGCTGTTGGGCCACCATCCGAGGGCATACGGAGGTGAAAGTAAGACACATGTGCAACATCTGGGTATCTTTATTGTAGACGTTTCGCCATCCAGTGGCTTTATCAATACAAATTCTAGGACATAACTTGAAGACAGTAGAACTATGTACAGAAGATGAGGTAATCAGTCCCTCAACCTAGGAGTAGGTGCGAACAGCACCATAGTCTACAATAAAGATACCCAGATGTTGCACATGTGTCTTACTTTCATCTTGTCGGTATTATATACCATTCGTACGCATACGGAGGTGTGGGAGCTTCTAAGCTAATTTCATTCTCATCCTTGCTCGTGAAGCTAGTACACCAAACAGGGATGAGAATGAAATTAGCTTAGAAGCTCCCACACCTCCGTATGCCCTCGGATGGTGGCCCAACAGCTAGCATTGCTAGCTGTTGTTGGTGGGTTGTGTGAAGGACCTGTCTAGTTGGGCCGGTGGGCCTGCTGCAGTGTTCCCTTTCTTATGAGTCGCGTGTCAGGTGTTCTTTTGTTGTGGGATCTGATAGTGAGGTGTGGGCTAGACCCTTTATGTACCTTCCTTTGATGCTCTACTTTCATTGTTCCTTGATAATGTGAGTAGTCACGAAAGCACTTGGAATTTCTCTGTTCTTCCACAGTGGTTGTTTTGCATATATATATATATATTATATATAATATATATATATATATATATATATATATATATATATAATATAATATATATATATATATATATATATATACATATATATATATATATATATATATATATATATATATATATATATTATATATATATATATCATATATATATATATATATATATATATATATATTTTATATATATATATATATATATATATATATATATATATATGTATATTATTTATATATATATATATATATATATATATTTTATATATATATATATAATATATATATATAATATAAATATATATATATATATATATAATATATATATATTGCAATGTAGGTATAGGTTGGTAGACAGCAACCACCCAGGGGAAGTACTACCGTCCTGCCAGATGACTGTGAAACAAAAACCTGTAACTGTTTTGCATGATGGTAGGATTGCTGGTTTCTTTTTCTGTCTCATAAACACGCTAGATAACAGGGATATCTTGCTACTCCTACTTACACTTTGGTCACACTTCACAGACACGCACGTGCATATATATATATACATACATCTAGGTTTTTCTCCTTTTTCTAAATAGCTCTTGTTCTTTTTTATTTCTTCTATTGTCCATGGGGAAGTGGAAAAGAATCTTTCCTCCGTAAGCCATGCGTGTCGTATGAGGCGACTAAAAGGCCGGGAGCAATGGGCTAGTAACCCCTTCTCCTGTATACATTTACTAAAAAAGAGAAGAAGAAAAACTTTATAAAACTGGGATGCTTAAATGTGCGTGGATGTAGTGCAGATGACAAGAAACAGATGATTGCTGATGTTATGAATGAAAAGAAGTTGGATGTCCTGGCTCTAAGCGAAACAAAGCTGAAGGGGGTAGGAGAGTTTCAGTGGGGGGAAATAAATGGGATTAAATCTGGAGTATCTGCGAGAGTTAGAGCAAAGGAAGGGGTAGCAGTAATGTTAAATGATCAGTTATGGAAGGAGAAAAGAGAATATGAATGTGTAAATTCAAGAATTATGTGGATTAAAGTAAGGTTGGATGCGAGAAGTGGGTCATAATAAGCGTGTATGCACCTGGAGAAGAGAGGAATGCAGAGGAGAGAGAGAGATTTTGGGAGATTTAAGTGAATGTATAGGAGCCTTTGAACCAAGTGAGAGAGTAATTGTGGTAGGGGACCTGAATGCTAAAGTAGGAGAAACTTTTAGAGAGGGTGTGGTAGGTAAGTTTGGGGTGCCAGGTGTAAATGATAATGGGAGCCCTTTGATTGAACTTTGTATAGAAAGGGGTTTAGTTATAGGTAATACATATTTTAAAAAAAAGAGGATAAATAAGTATACAAGATATGATGTAGGGCGAAATGACAGTAGTTTGTTGGATTATGTATTGGTAGATAAAAGACTGTTGAGTAGACTTCAGGATGTACATGTTTATAGAGGGGCCACAGATATATCAGATCACTTTCTAGTTGTAGCTACACTGAGAGTAAAAGGTAGATGGGATACAAGGAGAATAGAAGCATCAGGGAAGAGAGAGGTGAAGGTTTATAAACTAAAAGAGGAGGCAGTTAGGGTAAGATATAAACAGCTATTGGAGGATAGATGGGCTAATGACAGCATAGGCAATGGGGTCGAAGAGGTATGGGGTAGGATTAAAAATGTAGTGTTAGAGTGTTCAGCAGAAGTTTGTGGTTACAGGAAAGTGGGTGCAGGAGGGAAGAGGAGCGATTGGTGGAATGATGATGTAAAGAGAGTAGTAAGGGAGAAAAAGTTAGCATATGAGAAGTTTTTACAAAGTAGAAGTGATGCAAGCAGGGAAGAGTATATGGAGAAAAAGAGAGAGGTTAAGAGAGTGGTGAAGCAATGTAAAAAGAGAGCAAATGAGAGAGTGGGTGAGATGTTATCAACAAATTTTGTTGAAAATAAGAAAAAGTTTTGAAGTGAGATTAACAAGTTAAGAAAGCCTAGAGAACAAATGGATTTGTCAGTTAAAAATAGGAGGAGAGTTATTAAATGGAGAGTTAGAGGTGTTGGGAAGATGGAGGGAATATTTTGAGGAATTGTTAAATGTTGATGAAGATAGGGAAGCTGTGATTTCGTGTATAGGGCAAGGAGGAATAACATCTTGTAGGAGTGAGAAAGAGCCAGTTGTGAGTGTGGGGGAAGTTCGTGAGGCAGTATGTAAAATGAAAGGGGGTAAGGCAGCCGGGATTGATGGGATAAAGATAGAAATGTTAAAAGCAGGTGGGGATATAGTTTTGGAGTGGTTGGTGCAATTATTTAATAAATGTATGGAAGAGGGTAAGGTACCTAGGGATTGGCAGAGAGCATGCATAGTTCCTTTGTATAAAGGCAAAGGGGATAAAAGAGAGTGCAAAAATTATTTGGGGGATAAGTCTGTTGAGTGTACCTAGTAAAGTGTATGGTAGAGTTATAATTGAAAGAATTAAGAGTAAGACGGAGAATAGGATAGCAGATGAACAAGGAAGCTTTAGGAAAGGTAGGGGGTGTGTGGACCAGGTGTTTACAGTGAAACATATAAGTGAACAGTATTTAGATAAGGCTAAAG